TATAAGTGTTGCAAGTTTCCATTGATTCAAAAGAAATTAGGGTAATAGGATTTTAATAATTAATCTAATAAATGGATTAATTCATGGTATCAGGTTACAGACTAAAATAATCCATACATAGAGGAATGATGCCAATTACAAAGGCATGCTTTACCCACCTTTGTAATTGGTCTGAGGTTAGATTACGAATAGAATTAAAACAACGCATACTGTGCTATGCTTCAGTCCCTCAACAATATCACGTGATCGTGTATATTTTCAGATAAAAAAGGTAATTTTCTACTTTGTTTATCTGTAGTTTTCACGTGTGAAGTTTTTGTCACTGTATATTAAACTGACAGATTCGTTTTTTGGCCATGAATTTAATTTTACTATGATTATTATTTAACGACTTTCCATTGGCACATCAATTTTGAGGTTATGTCTGCAACTTGTGCATTTCCCAAACTGATCTACATCACAAAGGAGAACAGAACAGATACTAACTTCATAACTATATTCAACTTGAAATCATTTAATCCATACTGGAAATGTTTAAAAGCATTGTTTTCTAAGAGACTCTTCGAGTTCTACTGACCTTGACAAAAATAAACAAAAATAAATTCTTACTTATTGAAGTCTTTATCATGTTTTCTTAGTGTAATACCGGGAAGAAATAATAATGGGTGCATCGATTGTGTGGTTGTTGGAAATTAAACTTGAAAGGCCAATTTGTAATTTTTATTGCGATCACTCCACTTATATATATACATATATATATATATATATATATATATATATATATATATATATATATATATATATATATATATATATATATATATATATATATCAATGGCGGAACAAGCTTTTTCTTTCTATATTAAGAACATATCAAATTTCTTATGGGGATGTTCATGAGATTCTGAGGAATAGAAGTATATACAATTGTTATTATAACGCACTACCTAATCTTTGTTCTGAGAATAAGAGTGATATGCTGTGCTAAAATGTCAGGCCTTATTAAAAATACATTTTGGGTGGCATTGATAACACCATTTACACCTAATAAGTGGAAATTGATGATCCAGATTTCATGTTGGTATATAAGCTGGATTTATACTTTAGTTGTTTGATGGAGACATCCAACTAATTCTTTATTTGATTTTAATTCCATCAACATGTGTAATTTTATTAAAGGTAAATAGCCGGAGGGAAGCTTGTGGATGACGATTATACCCAGAAAATCTCTCTTTTATATACAATAATGTATAATGTATTCCTCCAAGTATTTGTTCCCAATGATCTATAGTTTTGCTGATATGGGATCATTCATGTCCATTTGTATATGTGATGTAACCTTGCTATCCTATCTCCCTCCATTTCCTTTCATTCCATCTTCACCCTCGTCCTCCCCCACACCACATACCAGCACACACAGAAAATTTTAACAAAAAGATATTCGTGGGACATCCGTTCGTTGAATTTCTAATCTAGTTCAGGTTGGTATTTGTCAAATATGTAATGGTGTATGGAATGCTCAAGCTAATAATAATAATAATAATAATAATAATAATAATAATAATAATAATAATAATAATAATACCCAATATGTGTATTGTTGGTTTAACTTAACAAAATCCTAATCCCACACGAGGGACTTTCCATCGTGTATATCTGTCTTCTGTATGTTTTACCACACTGCCACCTTGTCCCGTCACCTATCCTTAACCTTTACTTGTGTCTATTGGTAAATTTATCGAGAACTTCGGATACAGGAACTTTAACTAAATGGGCTTCATCCGAAGGATGTGAAATCATTAACATGATGTCTTTATCCTATGCAAACCAGGTGGTCTAGACTCTTGTTTGTCTCACATTTGAAACAAGAGAGTGATATTTCGGAGTCATATAAATATATATATATATATATATATATATATATATATATATATATATATATATATATATATATATATATATATATATATATATATATATATATATATATATATATATATATATATATATATATATATATATATATATATATATATATATATATATATATATATATATATATATATATATGCTGATATATTCCCAAGCGCTGTGTAATTCATCTTCAGGGGTGAATATGTGATATGTATGTACATATATACAGTATATATATATATATATATATATATATATATATATATATATATATATATATATATATATATATATATATATGTGTGTGTGTGTGTGTGTGTGTGTGTATGTAATCTTCAGTGCATTAGACAAGATAAAGGTTGTGTCAGCTTCGTCGTTAATGCTAAGAATTTCTATCAGTTCTCAGGACATCCTTTACGACACATTTTCAGTGTAAGTGACCAATTCAACAATATTCATTCAAGAATTATAATTATCTCCATATTCCCCATGACTATATTACATACCATGTTACGAAATGTGGTCTTATTCACTTACTTAAGTATTAAGAATGACGACGGTATCTTTATAACACATGTACCCTATTGCATTGGGCAGAGTCTTAATAGGAACTATAGGGATTAAATTCCGTAATAGGAATAGAAGCGAAGGACCATACTTGAAAAATTAAGTCCATAAATTTTCGGAAATGTTCTTGGTTACTACCAACATGAATGTGAAGGATTAGATAGTAAGAACCACTCTGGGTATTTAACTTATCTATTAATTTTTGTTCCTAATGGCTAAATTTTTTAAATTGCTCGACTAATTTCTGAAGATGTCAGGGATGAAGGATATTGATGCCTGATGTGTTGATCTGTTAAAAGGAGGATTAGGAGAAAAAAATTATTGTTGGAATTTTCAAAAGTTAGTCACAGAGAAGAAGTCCTGCACGTAAATTAGTTCATAAATTTTTTAGTCTTATAGTCTGTAATTCTAATGTTGTATATGATGACAAATGAAAAGTCTTTTTAATCTTACAAAGCTTTGTGTACAAGAAGCTGTTATGTATTTAATATTAATAATAATAATAATAAAGACAATCTTACAAAAGTTTTATCTTATTTGCATTTATATTATAATATGATATAATTTATCTTAATTTTAATTAAAAAAAAGTTAAAGGACCTTTCTGTTAATTTACTTCAGTGGCGTTCATTATAAGTTGATAAAATTCAATTTATCTGTGAAACTTTGTGTCCATAGAACAGACAATGAGAGACAATACCTTAAGATGACAAAGATACTGACATACCTTTGTGGTTTACAAAGATAAATATTGTTCTGTATCATAAAATGAAATTGATATATTAAAAAATACAGACCTTGCCGTTATATATATATATATATATATAACAAGATTCACGAGCAGGCAGTCTCTATAGCACCCCTAATTTTCAAAACTGTATGGTAGTGTAAAACATTCATGTTTGTATCAAAATGAATTTAAAAGTGTGGAAAATTTATAAACATATAATATATAAAAAATTTACTTCCAAATTTTATATTGGCACAAATAATGATACCAGTAAGGTCAATGATACTGTTCAGGATTTTTCTAATTTTTTATTTAAGGTACATTGGATACGTAAAAAATGTGTGACAGAAACTAGGAAAAATAACCTTCATGCATCTGTTCAATATAACACGAATATCAGACAATTTTATGGAGACGTCGAAAATATTATTCAACTCCTGAAAAAAAAGCAGTTGAAGATAAATCTCTTGTGCATTGCTCATAAACGTCTAGAAACAGCTTATTCAACTTACAATGTTCTGTTGTCTGTTGTATATTATCATGTTGTCATACATAAAAGTCATACTTAGCCAGTTTCACCACATAAATATAACAAACACGTCTTATGCAACTTCTAGAAGTACCTCAGGTATCTAATCTTAATTATGAAGAAAAGACGTTGAATATGTATGTACAAATAAATCATCTGGGAGAATCATGAGAAACAGGACACGAAAAAAAAAGGTGAGACTCTTCACAGCGATTTTTGAAGACAGATGCAGCTAAGATTACAACTAGTATTGTCAACTTTGGATGTGATGGGGATAGAATAATGTTGAGAGAGAGAGAGAGAGAGAGAGAGAGAGAGAGAGAGAGAGAGAGAGAGAGAGAGAGAGAGACGCAAGTTTTAACTTCTAAGAATGCCTTAACAAAACCTGACACTTCATAATAAAGATCCAACAATGGTTTGATAAACAAGAAAAAGCGGGAGAAAAATAAGGCTTTGCTTGCAATGGACAGAACAAATGTTTCACGTCAGAGTAATAGTGTTAATAGTCTTAATAATAAATTATAGTCATAGCTACTCTAAGACATGTTAGTGTAAAGTTTTATTATTAAAGTTATGATCACTAGCTATCATACCCAGTGAGAGGTCTAGTGGTCTCCTCAAACTTAATTAGAAAATAACGTAAACCTTAGAACAATATTTTGTGACCTACATTTATGAAATACTAGAACATACTTCCTAAGTTTCTTTTTGTGTCATAAATTTATCTCCATTTCATAAAGCCCTAGAAAAGGAAAAATCGTTTTCAAGATCTCATTGCATGTAAGCCATCAGTTATTACATTATTTTTATTTCTTTTTACGTATCCTTAGTGCGATGAAAATATAACTAGTTTAGTAAATATAGACCTCTGAGTTTCACTGAAAATTGCTTGTATTTTGTGTATATATATATATATATATATATATATATATATATATATATATATATATATATATATATATATATATATATATATATATATATATATATATATATGCATATATATATATATATATATATATATATATATATATATATATATATATATATATATATATATATATATATATCACATCTTCAGAGGCTGTCTTGAATAAAGACGAAAGCCAAGGTACCCGTTTCCATTTTCCCGTGATTTATCAAGATATATATATATATATATTCATTGTATTTTCATGAAATATATATATATATATATATATATATATATATATATATATATATATATATATATATATATATATATATATATATACTGTATATATATATTTTATGTACTCTGTGTTTGAATTTTTAGATTATAAATTTAGATAATTATTCTCAAAATAAATAGGGGGAAAGAGCTCCGTAAGATAACAACTCCAAGCCTTTTTTCTTGTTGTTGCCTCAGAGAGCGTGCGTGGCTGGTCCGGTTAAGAAATCAGGGAGGCGAGTGTCCCTGGTCTTACCTGGCCACAGCCAAACATAAGGCGGAACTTGTCGCTCCTTCGACAAACCTGAGGGTTTTTTGAAGAAGAGTGACAAGGCTTTGATTTCTCTGGGCTCTGTTCTCTTAGATAAAGTAGATCTGTTTGGTCTTTGCTGAATATCTTTATTGGATTGAGATAGTGGAACAGTAGAGGTAAAAGATGCTAATTGATTGGATCTTACAGGTACACCAAACTGTGGAGGATCGACTATTTTAATAGCATTCTTATTAACTTCGAAACTAAAATTTTCGATTTGCTTCGGGACAGCCGCTGTATTGCTGAAAGACCTCAGAATGTCATTATTTTTTTCGGCATTCTGCTCAAGTTTCTGGAAGGCAGGTTCGAATTCCTTAGTGTTTTGCGGTTGTAGAGCTTCGAGAGCTTTAAGAATAGATACTCCTTCCAGGTTCTCGCTTCTTAAGAAAGGAGAATCGTTCAGGATAGGGACATCTTGAAGGAATATTCTTGTAGGCACAGGAGTAGAACTTGAAGGGGGAGGGGAGGCTGGTCTTTGCTGATTCTGCAGCTGGTCTTGAAGGAGTACTGGCCGGAGACTGCTGGTCCTGGGACAGAAACAGTCATCAGGTATTACAACAGGTGCTTGAAATTCGACATGCTTCAGCTTTATCTTAACTGGCACCTTGACTGTCGGTATTGTTCCAGTACATAATACGCATATTGTGACTACTATAGTATAGGAACATTTGTTAATATTTGGACATGAGCTATTATACTGTAGAGCTAACCTAAACAGATTATTTGAGGTATTGTCTCATTTTTCCAATATAGATTAAATATGTATGACAGTTTGTATGTTAAGGCATTGGAAATTCAATTATCATACACAATATATATATATATATATATATATATATATATATATATATATATATATATATATATATGTGTGTGTGTGTGTGTGTGTGTGTGTGTGTGTGTGTGTTTTTCCTTGCCTAATTGTTGCATAACTTAGGGCAATGTGTCATAACCCATGAGTTTGGGTTTGTTATGATACTCCCTACACCTGCAGTCTCACTGACTCACCTGGTGTCACTGGTCTGCTCGTCGTTAACCACCGTCACCTTCTCCGGGAACACCACCTTTCCTCCTGAACTTGCTAATAAAAGACGCTGGGAATCCTGCAATCCCAAGGGAACAGGGAAGGAGGAGGAGGACTGCAGAGGTAGCTGAGAGATGTCCGGTGTTGTGACGAAGGCTTGAACATTGCCAGTCTGTACGGAAGAGCAACACAGGGATATAACGTAAATGGACTGTTATGGATTTCTATGAAGGCTGGTACGGGGCGACTAACTGTGAGGTGTGTAGCTATGCAAACATATGCCACACGCGGTTGGATCATCCCAAAAACTGCAAATAGCTGTATATGAATTTTTGATGCTGTTGACCAAAAAATGCATGTTTACATATCAATTCTCTCCGTTATATATGCAGAAAGAAAACAGACTCAGGAATTCTCTACAAATATGTGTGTGAGCGTGCGTGTGTGAACGAGTGCGTGCGTGCGTGCGTGCGTGCGTGCGACCCATGCATGTATGCGTGTATTTGAGAACAGTGGGCAATGTGGCGCAATAGTCAACATGCTCGCCTCAAAAGAGAGTAGTTCCGGGTTCGATCCCCGAGCAGGGTAAAACTATGAGTAAATTTCTTAACACTATTTGTCTCTATATACCTAGCAGTAACTGGGAACCTGGATTTTTATAGATCAACAGATCGTATTCGGGGTTATGGTTAGCCAGTGCAGTTGAGGAATTGTCCGATCATATATTATTCTTTGAGACCGGGTCATGGAAATTGTTAACATAGGGTGCACATGTTGTGTTTGCGACTGCTTCGACATCTTAACAAATTCACGCCTAGGTGGCCCTAGGGCTACCATTTAATTTTATTATTAATTTGTTTTAATGAGTCCTTGAACATGTTTATGTGCGTGTCTGTGGAATGTACCAACAAAAATAGGAGAACGTTTTAATATGGAAAATTATTGAATGTAAACTATAATTTTTTTGTTTAATTAATATTGAAGAATTATAATTCCTCAATATTAATTAAACAAAAAAATCAAACTAAACAAGTATTTATAAGCCACATCCTTATGAAGTCATATTAAAAAACTCGAGTCTTGTTAGAAAAATTATATTGAATTATGTAATCTATATATAGTATATCGTTCACAGAAAAATTATATGCATTTAATAAAGCAATTCTCTCTCTCTCTCTCTCTCTCTCTCTCTCTCTCTCTCTTACACACTCATAGAACACAGCCTGCACAGATAATGGGTGAACATGGTCAGAACTAGTATTGTTCAAAAGAGCGGGATTCTTCCTCCCTGCCCATAGTGTTGTTAATCAAATTTGTCTAAAGGTGATTTATTGATCAATTTCTATAATCTAATTTTATTTGCTTATAAACCTGCGATAACGTTAGGTTATCTCTGTTATTTATCTCATATATTTATATAAAAAATAAATATTAATTTATAAAATGTAATAAGTAATTTTTTCCTACAATTATCTTTGCAATATTTTTATCACTGTAGGGCTGAGGGATAGTCTAGAAAGACGACTAAACTCAGGGATAAGTTGAAAAACGGTGCACACACCCTTCGTCAGCGGCTTGGTCACCTAAGAACTTTTTAATTCCGGTAGAATAATCGAACTAACGTTATGATTAAATTTTATTTGCAACGTTACTGAGTTTTTCCTTAGTTTTTGGTAATATCCGCACATAAGATATATAAGGACCGTGCATTAGTTATCAGTACCTGTGACCATTCAGGTGCCTCTGCATAACGATACAATTTACTCGTGAAAAATCTTTAATCTGGTGAAAAAATATGTCCACAGTTTACTATCACTAATGGACACTTTTGTACTGGCGGAATATTAACTAATGAGCTATAATTCAGCTGCTAATTTTCTAGTGTACACCGGTGGAGGGGGAAACTGGAATCATTTTCACAAGGATTATCATGATGTGATTGTTTTTATACGAGTGTTATCATCAAGACACTCGCCTTATGACTGATCATCTGCTAGAGAAGCTCACCTCACTGTAGAGATATGCGGCAGAAATCAACATCAAGTTGTCCTACATAACAAGGAACAGGTTATATTTTACATCAAGATTATAATTCCTTGATCATTGTCAACAGGTCTTGCTATGTAGATGAAGTGAATTAGTGAACTTGGTTAATTTATTTAGTTGTTAAAACAGAAATATACAAACACAGTAGTAGTGAAATAATTATCTGATACTAATAAATTGTACTTGAACGGCATGTGATATTAACCACTGAAGTAATATTAAAAAATTAAATTATTATTTCGAATTTAAAATATTTGTACTTAGAATGATGTCGTATATATATATATATATATATATATATATATATATATATATATATATATATATATATATATATATATATATATATATATATATATATATATATATATATATATATATATATATATATATTAAAATATTCTTGTAGAAATAACCAGATCACCTTATTACGCTGTATTCGCTATTGCTATTAACTTGGAAAAACAAAAACTTGAAACTTGACGTAGTATTTATCAAGTGAGCAAAGCCGCCGAGAAAGTCTTGTTAATCTTTTCATCATTGATCAGAGTTATTTTGAAATGTTCTGATGTCTGATATGACTGATTTGAAGGAATTAATATTTCTAAAATCAGAAGAGAAATAAGAATTTTAGTTATCTCATGAAAGATTCAGAACATAACAATCCAAAGATAACTAACTTAAATGTCTTGAATATTTGTCTTTTTTTATGTAATGAACATCTGTGGTTAAAATAACACTTTTATTCTCACTCACTTAAAAGTAATTGGATTGTATTTTTAGATTTAAAGGAGGTGACTTCTCCCATAACATGGTCGATAATATGTAATTAGCGAATTGAATTTCCGCTCATATAACTTGGGAGAAAATGATACTACTAACAGCAGACAGACATTTGTAACTTGTGAATTTGATCTTACCTGAGACTGTCTTAAGGGCAAAGACATCCCACGCCTAAGGTCCGAAACAGACTGCGTCAGGTGAGTCTTGGTGAAACCAATGAAGGGTGCTTGCTGACCTGGACCGTTGAGAGGGCCAACTTCCCTAAGGGCAATGGAGGCAGATGCCCCAGGCCTCCCAAAGGGTCACTTGGGTTTGACGTCTCCAAAGGTAACTTGGAGATGTCTATGGAGAGCGGGCGAAACTTGGAGATATCTATGGAGAGCGGGCGAAACTTGGAAGAATCCTGGAGTTGGGGGAGTGGCAGGGCTCTAGGTGAGCTGCCCCGTGGTCGTGCTGCCGCCACACTGAAGGAAGATTCGAGCGCTGCAGGTCTCCTGAGGGGGTGTAGGGAGGACGGAGACTGGGCCAGGAGGGAGGACCCACCAGCAGGAGCACGAGAAGACCGCTGAGGGAGCGAGGAGGGACGCCTGGATGGATCAATTTGCCGGCCAGATCGCTGACTCCCCCAGACCCAGCGCTCTCCTGGGGAAGCGCGTGGTAGCGGGCGGGCGTCAGGGAAGAGAACGGAAAAAATATAATAAAAGGCAGTAAAACGTGAATTAAAACTAAACATGCACGTTCAGTGGTAAATAAAAATGACTGCTATGAATAAAAATATTATGATAGGTGAGCAAAATGTGGAAAATTATTGCAGGATATAAAGCTAAAAGCCTCCCGAAACTAAATTAATAAACCTTAAAAGTGTGGTGGAAATTTTTATGAAGTACATTCAAAGAGTTTATAGCAAAGCATTAATGAACCGTTATTCAGGTTCAAACAACAAATCAAAACTTAAAATTACAAGCCAAAATCAATTACCAAATGTGTGATGTGCGAAAATATGCAATAATAGGGAAACTAGAACATGCAAAAAGGTGTATATTGCTTCGTTATAAATTGCAACATTATTATTCATTACAGTTTATAGTTCAAAAACAAAATATAAATATGGTAACCAGGAATGAGAACGAAGCGCTGGTCTTATATGGCGATGTACCCAAACGAAAAGTTATGACAAATTTATGACAAGTTAATATTAACTCTGATATATTGGTTGATATTCCTAGTCATTTACCTGACTCGGGGGGCCATCAACGACACTGTTCACCTTAACTACTTGAAGTGGTTTAAATCACGTTTAAGACATCGATGTAATTTAGTTTTTTTTTTTGGTGTATGATTTTTTGTTCCTTGGGTAATATTGTTAATTTAGTTTTTTTTCGGTTTCATAAGTAGTTAAAATAAATTATAAATGTTAAGTTACAATTTGAACGATTTATTTCGATTTATCATTTATTAATCAACCAGTTTCTTACACTCATTTCAAGCATTGAGTTTTCCTGCTGGTAATGTTGAAGAGAAACAACACGTTACTAATTTATGCTCAGGACTTCCTCTTATATTTAAAAGACTTATAAATTGTATCTAACTTTACTAATATGTAAGATTTCAAACATTTTTAATTTTCTCCGAAAGTTTTCATTGGTTCAGAATTTCTCTCTGATTTTTCGAATGGTGAATATTCTCCCCAAGTCTTTCACCATGCAAAGTTATTGCAGCAATTATTTTTAGTTTTCGTTTTCATAATTTTGGGGGCTAATCAGGATCAAGCCTGCAATTTATATTGTGTTTGCATTTTGAGTAAAGGAAGTTGTTGCCTAAGGTTTTCCAAAAATGGTTCTTCTCTTTCACGTTTAAATACATTATACCAGGAAGATGTGTGTGTGCGTGCGTGAGTGCGTGTGTAGGCCTTTTACAAGAAACAAAAGCATTATCGATTCACAGATAAACTGGTAACTGGGAAAAGTAACATCACTACTAACAAAGACATCTAACTTTATTCTCTTCCTCACTTTGATAAAAGTTAAACTCCTGATTAAATACAATTCCAGTACGTAAGTATTTTTTAAAGAAATAATGTTAACCACACATCACAGGAGATAGTAATGAACTGATATAAATACTTCCTGACTTCATTATATTTCAAACAACACCGACGGACTCTAAGCAAAGCCTTTCAGTTGACTAATTACTCCCACCCTCCTCCATAATTAACCCAATATTCTCGAGAAACTTGCTTAACTTGATTGGCCAAACAATAATGGACTTGGGAAGGTTTCATTACCGTCCGGAGGCTCAATGGCTAACTTCTCCAATTCTCAAACGTCTTTTGAAATTTCTTTTACAGGTGGAGTAGAACGAAGTGCTGCGGGCGGGCTGCTGCTCTTACTCCCCCAAAGACCAAAGTTTGCAGCATAATTACGTTCCGTCTGATGCTATTACAGAAGCGGCCTCAACTTCCTCCCACTAAGTTTGATAGAAATAATGGGGGAATTAAGAGTCTTTGTTCTTGACTTCTTTTGTTTGAGAACGACGGTTTGACGTTGGTTAAGAGAAAAGCACACCCCCCCCCCCCTTGTTTCGATTTTTTAAGCACATATATAATACGAGTTGTGATATATTCAAATCGTTTTTATTCCTTTTATTAATCCGAGAAGACACAGAGGAGTTCAACATATCTGTACTACTGTATATTAATATTCATAATATTTCATCATGATACCTGTAGTTTACTAGTTTTGTTTAGCTGGAGTTTTATGAAAGATTTATTATAACCAACCTTTATCGTTTAATTCCCTGGAGTTCATAAAATAACATTACATGAATTCTTACTGATTCTATATTTATCGCTATTAATAATGTGAAACCACCTTAATATAATAAACGAGCTAATACTAATGAGATCTTCAATAACATGAATTTTCTAGATCCATCTCTCCAGAACTCTCCATAACTGTAGTATCTGAGGGAACACCTAATACTGACTAAGTAATGACCCGCTTCCTGCAACACTTTACCAAATTGTATATGACAGTCTGAGAATTAGTTGTCAAAGGTTTTGTTAGAGACATGAATGTACTATTTTGGATAAATTATGGAAGTGTGTAATACTCATGACGTTTATTAGTATTTTTTTTTTTAACAAGCACGGGGTTGTGTTGGGTGTTGTGTGAAGGAGGAGGAAGACAAGGTTATCAGTTGGTGTTTGGAGAGACTATCACTACAACCACCATAACACTGTAGTTGATATACTGTACACAATATCCCTTACAAACAGGCCACCATCTTTGCAAAACTTAATTGAAATGCTGTCAGTAATTTCTTTTGATGGAAAAAGGTCTTAGTATATTGTATATGAAAAATATGTCACTATCGTCATTGTCATTTGAAGGTGGCACATGAGCAAGGTGTAGTTAACATGGTATAATTATTAATGTTTTGTGAGAGTGGGATTAATTTTTATCACGACACATCGACGGTCAGTAATGATACTTATAACCAGAAGGATGTATCACTCTTAATTGTTGGTGACTAGTGTTATCATTAACCTAGAATACTTGCTGAGCTGCAGTAATGTATCCTCACATTAACATGAACAGGTAAGTCTATATCTATAACCCTGAGACTTCCTTAAATGTTTGTTCCCTGAAGAAGGTCGGTTCCCCTTGTACAGACTGATGACTGCTTAAGTAATGAGGACTTAACCTATTACGTAGGTTGATATGTTTGCATGTATGAGTATGATATTCTAATTAATATAAGTATGACTACCTTAAGAACTATAATTATGGTAACATAATTAGCTCGTGTCAGTATAAATAAGAAAGAAAATAATAACAATTAATAAGAAATCAAAGCAAGAGCGAGAACATATGAACAAATTACTCATGCTACTGAGGTCGGAATATATTACCAATGACAGATGTAAATATAAATAAGAAGGAAATTATGGAAGAGGTATGAATATTTCGTGCTAAATGTTTTCACAAGACACTGATATTTTCTCTTGAGGTAAAGATTCCATCATCAAGCGGGAGAAGCTGATGTGTTGTTTTAAAGAAGGGAGCCATTGTCACCCTAATTCAGGTGTCCTGTTAAGTAGGAATCAGTTTCTTTGATACATATGTTCCTATATCTAGATTAAGACGCTACTTCTGTGAGTGTATCACCATTTTGGAATATCTTTTCATGTACATTATACCAAAATATCTAATAATACTTACATTTACAAGTAAAGATTTTGGATTATTATAATGGATTCATTTAGTGAAGTATAATGTAAGGTTATGTAGTGAACTGGACACTGTATCAAACTATAGAGTCAACTAAGCCTTCTTGTGGTTTATATAAACAATTAGGAAAGTATGTAACGTCAAGTGGTAAGCATAAATGTTGTGTCGAGTCATGTGGTGAGCTTGACCTTTGTATGAGGTCACGTAGGAAGTTTCTTTGTGCCAGATTATGTTTGGATTTCAAAATTTGTCTAAGTCAATGTGGAGAATTTGACCTCTGTGTCAGGTCATGTAGGGAGTTTGACCCTTGTGTGAGGTCATGTGGGAGTTTGACCTTTGTGTCAGGTCATGTGGGAGTTTGACCTCTGTGTCAGGTCATGTAGGGAGGTTGACCCTTGTGTCAGGTCATGTGGGAGTTTGACCTTTGAGTCAGGTTGTGTAGGGAGGTTGACTCATGCATGAAGTCCCAGACTGAATTATTCTCAGGTAGTCATGAGCAGGTGTTAGCCCTAGGGGGTAAGGTAGGGTTATTCATGTCTCTCTCTCGCCTGCTTGTCTCATGCTCTCTCTCTCTTTATCTCTCTTAAAATACCAACTTCATTGAAAGAGAATTTAGCAAGATAAATTATCCACATTGGTATAAAGCTGATGTATGTATGTATGTATGTATGTATGTATGTATGTATGTATGTATGTATGTATATATATATATATATATATATATATATATATATATATATATATATATATATATATATATATATATATATATATATATGTATATATTAAAAATAACTAATGATAATGAATACAGATGCGTCTGCCTGGCACACGTAAAGTAGCACCATGAGTTTAGACAAATGTTATTGACAATAATCAATTAGTGGTTTTGTATCGTGTTATGATTTTCCTTGGGGGTATCAGTTTGGACACATTGTTTATTATCAAAGGAACTCGCAAATATATCCCTGTATGTAAATGAATGAAAGTAGAGTGACCAATGTTCCATTTGAGACGGGAAAATGTGCAACATTTTGAAGACACTGTTTGTAAAAAAGCGTCACACAGGCAACGCACACAATGACAAGATGATTTTTGTGGAGTATATTTACGTCGGTGTTCAATCACTGCATAACCAGAACTAGTTCTGCTACATAATATGCAATGCATTTTATTCATCATGACAATATCATCACTCGCAGCGTGAAGTCAATCACATGCATTATTTACTGTTATCAGACTCTATAATTAAAATAACTTATTGTACTGACTGTCACATCCTGCCCCAGATGAACTAACAAACACATGTGCCAAATAAAACAACTACGTTCTGTGCATTATTTGTGCTTGTCAGACTATCAACATCGTAATCCAATGTAACAACTGTTTGAAATATTCATCGAGGCACAG